CCTCACTCACTCACTCTCCCTACCTCACTCACTCTCCCAACCTCACTCACTCCCACATCACCCACCTCCCACTCCTCCCTACCACTCACCTCACTCACTCTCCCACCTCACTCACTCTCCCTACCTCACTCACTCTCCCAACCTCTCACTCCACTCAACTCATCCCAAACCTCACTCACTCTCACACCTCCTCACTCACTCTCCCAACCCACTCACTCACCACTCACTCTCCCAACCTCACTCACTCACTCCTACACTCACTCACTCCTCACCTCACTCACTCACTCTCCCAACCTCACTCACTCCACTCTCTCCCAACCTCACTCACTCACTCTCCCACCTCACTCACTCACTCTCCAACCTCACTCACACTCTCCCAACCTCACTCACTCACCTCCCAACCTCACTCACTCACTCTCCCAACCTCCCTCTACTCACTCACCATCTCCCAACCATCACTCTCCACCTCCCACCCAACCTCACTCACTCACTCTCCCAACCTCACACTCTCCCCAACCTCACTCACTCACTCTCCAACCTCACTCACTCACTCTCCCAAACTCTCACTCACTCTCCCAACCTCACTCACCACTCTCCACCTCTCACCAACCTCAACCTCACTCCACCTCCCAACCTCACTCACTCACTCTCCCAACCTCACTCACTCCCCCAACCTCACTCACTCCTCTCCAACCTCACTCACTCACTCTCCCAACCTCACTCCACTCACTCCCCAACCTATCACTCACTCCCCACTCACTCACTCTCCCACCTCACTCACTCTCCCAACCTCACCACTCACTCTCCCAACCTCACTCACTCCTCCCCAACCTCACTCACTCACCCAACCTCACTCACTCTCCCAACCTCACTCACTCACCCAACCTCACTCACTCCCCAACCTCACTCACTCACTCCCAACCTCACTCACTCTCCCAACCTCACTCACCCTCACCCAACCTCACTCACTCTCCCAACCTCACTCACCTCCTCACCACCTCACTCACTCCCCACCATCACTCACCACTCACCCAACCTCACTCACTCTCCCAACCTCACTCACTCACTCACCCAACCTCACTCACTCTCCCAACCTCACTCACTCACCACAACCTCACTCACTCTCCCAACCTCACTCACTCACTCACCCAACCTCACTCACTCTCCCAACTCACTCACTCACTCCACCTCACTCAACCCCCACCTACTCACTCACTCCCCAACCTCACACTCACTCTCCCAACCTCACTCACTCCCCAACCTCACTCACTCTCCCACCTCTCACTACCCAACTCACTCCTCTCCCAACCTCACTCACTCTCCCAACCTCACTCACTCCCCCAACCTCACTCACTCTCCCACTCACTCACTCACTCTCCCAACCTCACTCACTCTCCCAACCACTCACTCACTCACTCTCCCAACTCTCACTCACTCTCCCAACCTCACTCACTCTCCCAACCTCACTCACTCTCCCAACCTCACTCACTCACTCTCCCAACCTCACTCACTCTCCCAACCTCACTCACTCACTCTCCCAACCTCACTCACTCTCCCAACCTCACTCACTCACCCAACCTCACTCACTCTCCCAACCTCACTCACTCACTCACCCAACCTCACTCACTCTCCCACCCACAACCTCACTCACTCACTCTCCCAACCTCACTCACTCTCCCCAACCTCACTCACTCTCACCTCTCCCAACCTCACTCACTCTCCCAACCTCCACTCACTCACCCAACCTCACTCACTCACCCAACCTCACTCACACTCACTCACCAACCTCACTCACTCACTCATCCCAACCTCACTCACTCACTCACCCAACCTCACTCACTCACTCTCCCAACCCTCACTATCACTCACTCACTCCCACCACCTCACTCACTCACTCTCCCAACCTCACTCACTCACTCTCCCAACCTCACTCACTCACTCTCCCAACCTCACTCACTCATCCCAACCTCACTCACTCACTTTCATAAATTTTATTAAAATTTCCTACAATGACTTCTACTACTGTTGTTACTACTACTAATGGTGCTACTACTACTACTATTACTACTGCTACTACTGCTGCTGCTGCTACTACTACTAGTTACTACTACTACTATTGCTACTACTACTACTACTACTACTACTACTACTACTACTGTTGCTGCTGCTACTACTGTTGCTGCTGCTACTACTACTGCTACTACTGTTGCTGCTGCTACTACTACTACTACTACTGTTGCTGCTGCTCTACTACTGCTACTACTGTTGCTGCTGCTACTACTACTACTACTACTGTTGCTGCTGCTACTACTACTGCTACTACTGTTGCTGCTGCTACTACTACTACTACTACTACTGCTGCTGCTGCTACTACTGTTGCTGCTGCTACTACTACTGCTACTACTGTTGCTGCTACTACTACTGCTACTACTGTTGCTGCTGCTGCTGCTGCTACTACTGTTGCTGTTGCTGCTGCTGCTACTACTGTTGCTGTTGCTGCTGCTGCTACTACTACTGCTACTACTGTTGCTGCTACTACTACTGCTACTACTGTTGCTGCTGCTGCTGCTGCTACTACTGTTGCTGCTACTACTACTGCTACTACTGTTGCCGCTACTACTACTGTTGCTGTTGCTGCTGCTGCTACTACTGTTGCTGCTGCTGCTGCTGCTACTACTACTGCTACTACTACTACTACCACCATCTATACTACACTACCAGACCATACCCCGGCCGGGATTGAACCCGCGGTCATAGTCTCAAAACTCCAGCCCGTCGTGTCATTACGATTTCGTGAGTCATGTACACTACCAGAGAACTAAAAATGAATTTCACTTTGGGTAACTATTATATTCTCAACAGAATAATTTAAGGTGATCATAAATCTGTCAAAGATGACCACTCCAAGAATGTTATCATACATGAAGCACACAGTAACTAGAAATTAATTCCATGGGGAGGGAGGATGTTTCCCAATGTATATTTTCTTAAAATACTAGAGCATTCTGCAGTTCCCATATATCAGACTGCAGTACAGCTCTATATTCTGCAGTATCCATATATCACACTGCAGTACAGCTCTATATTCTGCAGTTCCCATATATCAGACTGCAGTACAGCTCTATATTCTGCAGTTCCCATACATCAGACTGCAGTACAGCTCTATATTCTGCAGTTCCCATATATCACACTGCAGTACAACTCTATATTCTGCAGTTCCCATATATCACACTGCAGTACAACTCTATATTCTGCAGTATCCATATATCACACTGCAGTACAACTCTATATTCTGCAGTATCCATATATCACACTGCAGTACAGCTCTATATTCTGCAGTATCCATATATCACACTGCAGTACAACTCTATATTCTGCAGTATCCATATATCACACTGCAGTACAGCTCTATATTCTGCAGTATCCATATATCACACTGCAGTACAGCTCTATATTCTGCAGTATCCATATATCACACTGCAGTACAGCTCTATATTCTGCAGTATCCATATATCACACTGCAGTACAGCTCTATATTCTGCAGTATCCATATATCACACTGCAGTACAGCTCTATATTCTGCAGTATCCATATATCACAACATGCAGTACAGCTCTATATTCTGCAGTATCCATATATCACACTGCAGTACAGCTCTATATTCTGCAGTATCCATATATCACACTGCAGTACAGCTCTATATTCTGCAGTATCCATATATCACACTGCAGTGCAGCTCTATATTCTGCAGTATCCATATATCACACTGCAGTACAGCTCTATATTCTGCAGTATCCATATATCACACTGCAGTACAGCTCTATATTCTGCAGTTCCCATATATCACACTGCAGTACAGCTCTATATTCTGCAGTATCCATATATCACACTGCAGTACAGCTCTATATTCTGCAGTTCCCATATATCACACTGCAGTACAACTCTATATTCTGCAGTATCCATATATCACACTGTACTGCAGTGTGATATATGGGAACTGCAGAATATAGAGTTGTACTGCAACTCTATATTCTGCAGTATCCATATATCACACTGCAGTACAGCTCTATATTCTGCAGTATCCATATATCACACTGCAGTACAACTCTATATTCTGCAGTATCCATATATCAGACTGCAGTACAACTCTATATTCATTTCATGGGTAAGAGGATACGTCAGCTATATAATTTTACAAAGATACATCACTCTTGTGCGTTTACGATAAATTTCACTGTGGCAGATCACATCAAATTTGTTCCCCTGGGGGAAGGCTTTTCCAAATGTACATTTTATTACAATGGTAGACTATTCTGTGTGTTTAACCCTTAAACTGTCCAAACGTAGATCTATGTTCACATGAGTAGCGCTCCGAACGTAGATCCACGTTTTATTTTACATGTTTTCAAATGTAGAAAAAAAGTAGATCTATGTTTGGAGCGCTACGCACGTGAACGTAGATCTACGTTTGGACAGTTTAAGGGCTAATGTGTGGCAGATCACTTCAAATTTGTTCCCTGGGGAAAGGCTTTCCTAGATGTACATTTTTTTATAATGGTAGATCATTCTATATGTTCAATGTGTGGCAGATCACTTCAGGTTTATTTCCTGGTAAAGACTCTTCCAAATGCACATTAATTTAAAATGCTAGACAACTAGTAGTATATATTTTTCAATGCATATCACTGGGGCAGACTGCTACAAATCTATTTAACTGGGAAGATCATTGTAAAGTGACATTACTTGACAATGCTAGACCACTCTGTATTGTTCAATACATCTCACTGGGGCAGACCACCCCATATCTGGTGTTTCATTTTAGTGTGCCTAACAACGGAGTGTTTGGTGCTGGCTCGGAAGTCGCAGAGCGAGCAAAAGTACGGCTTCTCTCCGGTATGTATACGCAGGTGTCGCAGCCACTTGCTCTCGTACTGATCCACCCGGGGGCAATATGGACAGCGGTAGAGGCCAGTTTGATCAGGCACGCCACCCTATAATGGAACAAATCGTGTCAGATTCGTCAGATCTTTGAGACGTGAGCAGTGTTAAAAGTCTTATTCATTAAAAGCTAAACTTGAAATTTTTGTCAACATGGCAAGATATAATCTATATACAGGAGGACCTGACATACACATCACCACCTTTTCGCTGTTCCACATTTTCGTTGGTATCAAATTGAGCCACTGTTCAATATGTTCTACCTGCCTGAGATAGCAGCGGACAGAACAACGGCTCAATTAAAAGCCAATGAAAACGTATAACAATGAAAACAGGTGGTGTACATGCAGGGACTTCCTGTATTGAAAGATAAGAACAAGTTAACTTGTGGATGAGTGAGGAAGCTATGGCAGATGGCAGTCTGAATCGACCAGTGTGTCAGTCTTAGCATCTGCCCGAGATACAATGTTTCGCAGAGTGGTCAATCAATGGATTCAGCTCCTAGAGGAGGTAGTGTAGTGAGTGCTACAATCACTGCAAACTTTAATATATTTTATAATAGACTACCATTAGCAGGGGTGCCTTGAGTATTTTTATACAGGAGGAACTTAGGGTCGGACTCTGCTTGAAGGGCACTAGAGACCTTATTATTATCATTATTATTATTATTATATTGGGGAGTCTGATAAAGATTATGGGGGCTGCAGCCCCCTTGTTGCTGCCACTTTTCGTTACATTCACAACCTTGGCTCAACCCCCGTAACTACAAACAGGTCGTCACACTCGTTACAAAATACACAACAGCAAAGATGACACACAACGATCTTGGCTCGACCCCTATAACTACAAACAGGTCATCACACTCTCACTACTCGTAGTGTTAATATAACTGCATATTCATGGACAAGCACTAAACCTGTAGGGGGTCACACAGCACCTTGGGCACTAGAGGGTAATCATGTTTTAGAAATGCAACTCCAATTCCTTGAGTCAAGAACCCTTCACCAACATCAAGGAACCTGCCCGAGAGATTTCTTTAGCGAAATATTGTAAATCCCACACTGTGAGGTTGTAAATCTCCAATAAATCCCACACTGTAAGGTTGTAAATCTCCAATAAATCCCACAATGTAAGGTTGTAAATCTCCAATAAATCCCACACTGTAAGGTTGTAAATCTCCAATAAATCCCACAATGTAAGGTTGTAAATCTCCAATAAATCCCACAATGTAAGGTTGTAAATCTCCAATAAATCCCACACTGTCAGGTTGTAAATCTCCAATAAATCCCACACTGTCAGGTTGTAAATCTCCAATAAATCCCACACTGTAAGGTTGTAAATCTCCAATAAATCCCACAATGTAAGGTTGTAAATCTCCAATAAATCCCACACTGTAAGGTTGTAAATCTCCAATAAATCCCACAATGTAAGGTTGTAAATCTCCAATAAATCCCACAATGTAAGGTTGTAAATCTCCAATAAATCCCACACTGTAAGGTTGTAAATCTCCAATAAATCCCACAATGTAAGGTTGTAAATCTCCAATAAATCCCACAATGTAAGGTTGTAAATCTCCAATAAATCCCACACTGTCAGGTTGTAAATCTCCAATAAATCCCACACTGTCAGGTTGTAAATCTCCAATAAATCCAACACTGTCAGGTTGTAAATAAGACACCTGTGTAACACCAGGTTATCATTATTGATGAATAAGACACCTGTGTAACACCTGGATATCTTATTGATGAATAAGACACCTATGTAACACCTGGGTATCTTTATTGATGAATAAGACACCTGTGTAACACCTGGGTATCTTTATTGATAAATACTACTATCCACGGTAGGCCTTGGAAGGTACCTCCCGCGGATATCAGGCGACTATTTTAATGTTTGAGTTTATCTGATGTACCTGGAGGGTGTTCTGGGGGTCAACACCTCCTGCGGATATTTTGTAAATCCTCGCATATTACGTGTAGTGTGTAAATGGTCCTAGTGGGACCTACACATCATCGTAAGCTTCTCTTTCCTATGCGCGGGTTATATGTGTATTGTTCGTCATGATATTGTGCCTTTTTGTTTATTATGTATTGAGGTTGTGTAAAAGGCCAGGCTTCCAGGGTTGAAAAGGCCTGGAAATCAACAGTGCGTATATCGGTGTTTAAGGTATATGTCGAGAACCGCACCACACTGACCGAACCTCTCACACCATGCCTGGATGCAAGTAATTAATCTTTCATGAACAATGGGTCATTTGTAACCGTAGTAGCCTTGATATTGTGGGTTATTAGTAACTGTAGCAGCCTTGATATTGTGGGTTATTAGTAACTGTAGTAGCCTTGATATTGTGGGTTATTAGTAACTGTAGCAGCCTTGATATTGTGGGTTATTAGTAACTGTAGTAGCCTTGATATTGTGGATTATTAGTAACTGTAGCAGCCTTGATATTGTGGGTTATTAGTAACTGTAGTAGCCTTGATATTGTGGGTTATTAGTAACTGTAGTAGCCTTGATATTGTGGGTTATTAGTAACTGTAGCAGCCTTGATATTGTGGGTTATTAGTAACTGTAGCAGCCTTGATATTGTGGGTTATTAGTAACTGTAGCAGCCTTGATATTGTGGATTATTAGTAACTGTAGCAGCCTTGATATTGTGGGTTATTAGTAACTGTAGTAGCCTTGATATTGTGGGTTATTAGTAACTGTAGTAGCCTTGATATTGTGGGTTATTAGTAACTGTAGCAGCCTTGATATTGTGGGTTATTAGTAACTGTAGTAGCCTTGATATTGTGGGTTATTAGTAACTGTAGTAGCCTTGATATTGTGGGTTATTAGTAACTGTAGCAGCCTTGATATTGTGGGTTATTAGTAACTGTAGCAGCCTTGATATTGTGGGTCATTTGTAACTGTAGCAGCCTTGATATTGTGGGTTATTTGTAACTGTAGCAGCCTTGATATTGTGGGTTATTTATGAATTGTTGCAGCCTTGATATTGTGGGTTATTTATAAATTGTACCAGCCTTGATATTGTGGGTTATTTATAAATTGTAGCAGCCTTGATATTGTGGGTTATTCTTCAGTTCTCATACTGTCAATCCTTATCAATCCTACGGTCACGGCAAGTCTTACGTCCAGCCCTTTTCCCAGTCCCACTAAGGGGTTTACCATTCATTGAACCCTTAAGCAAACAGATCTCAACTTAAAATATTTGGTAAGCACAGGGACCAATCCACTAGAACAGCAATTCAGACAACACTGACCACAGTATACATCAATTGTAGAAGTGTTTGTCATTGTTACAATCGGGTATAATCTCGTCTCTTTCCACCACAATCGCCACTATCACTCACCCAATATTAGTTCACTGTATCAAGTGTTCACTGTACGGTTGTTTATAAGTCATCCACGGGGTTGATTTTCATTTCAATGGTAATGCTTGACCCTTTTTAGTGACTGGGGATTCACCCAGAAGCCAGGAGCTTGGACTCGACCCCTGCAAATAGGTGAGTACTGACTGATAACTGTATAGGTGCTTCTCAACTTATGATGGCGTTAAATTCTGACAAACCCATAGTTACCTGGGGTTTACCTGGGGAGAGTTCCGGGGGTCAACGCCCCCGCGGCCCGATCTGTGACCAGGCCTCCTGGTGGATCAGAGCCTGATCAACCAGGCTGTTGCTGCTGGCTGCACGCAAACCAACGTACGAGCCACAGCCCGGCTGGTCAGGAACCGACTTTAGGTGCTTGTCCAGTGTCAGCTTGAAGACTGCCAAGGGTCTGTTGGTAATCCCCCTTATGTATGCTGGGAGGCAGTTTAACAGTCTCGGGCCCCTGACACTTATTGTATGGTCTCTTAACGTGCTAGTGACACCCCTGCTTTTCATTGGGGGGATGGTGCATCGTCTGCCAAGTCTTTTGCTTTCGTAGTGAGTGATTTTCGTGTGCAAGTTCAGTACTAGTCCCTCTAGGATTTTCCAGGTGTATATAATCATGTATCTCTCCCGCCTGCGTTCCAGGGAATACAGGTTTAGAAACCTCAAGCGCTCCCAGTAATTGAGGTGTTTTATCTCCGTTATGCGCGCCGTGAAAGTTCTCTGTACATTTTCTAGGTCGGCAATTTCACCTGCCTTGAAAGGTGCTGTTAGAGTGCAGCAATATTCCAGCCTAGATAGAACAAGTGACCTGAAGAGTGTCATATGAATATGAATATGAATAAGAATATGAATATGAATACGTGCTAAATAAATAAGTCAATAAATAACTACTGCCACTGAATAAGTAAACAAATAATTACTTTAACTAAATACCAGTACGATACAAGTTATGGACTTGTTGCCTTCATGTTGGGTAATTATCTTAAGTTTCATCTCCAAAGTAATTGCTGCCGCACCATAGTAAAGTTGAAACGTCGTCAATTGAGCCATCATAAGTCAAGAATCACCTGCGTAGCAGTAACTGGGTTATGCTTCTTGCTTTTCGTAAGTCATCTTTGGGCAGTCAGAAATTAAACTAAAAAATCCTCCTTACATGTGAAAAATGCCTCGCCTAACCAAAAATGCCTCACCTAACCAAAAATGCCTCACCTAACCAAAAATGCCTCGCCTAACCAAAAATGCCTCACCTAACCAAAAATGCCTTGCCTAACCAAGAACTTTTCACTTAACAAAAAACATAATTTGTCAACTAAAACTCTAGCGAAGAAGGGAGCTTAACTGTTTATCAAGTTTGTAACTGCACAAATCACATTGAGAAATATAAATAACTGCACCGAAGTCGAGTAGGGTTCGCCGTGGAGCATCTCCTAGAGTGCAACGCCCTCGACAGAATGTCTGAACTTGTCGTGTCGCACGACGGCATGTTTGGTAGTTGCGCGGTAAGGGCATTTGGTGCACTGGTAGGGCTTTTCGCCTGTGTGAGTGCGCAGATGTCGCCGCCACTTGCTCTTGTCGGAGTCAATGCGCGGACAGTAGAAGCAGCGGTAGCACAAGCGACCCTGCTCGTCCCGTATCACCGGCCCCTCGGTCATCACCAGTCCCTAAAATACAAGGGAAAACAGTTACTACTACTGGCCAATCACCAAGCGACGTTGCCATGCACACAAACTGCCCCGACAACGACTAGCGCAATATATACAGGTGCTCATTGATTTATGATGGTCTGACTTAAGATATTTCGACTTTACGATGGTGCGATAAAACTGTAAAACTTTTTTGTACCGTACAGTACAGTCGGGGACCCGCTTTATGGCATTTCGCTAATATGGACATTTCAAATTATACCCAAAAACTCATTTGTACGGCTCCTGATTCGCCATTACGGTATCCGCGTGATAGTGTTTATATCCTCCGTGAGCTCCGCGTCTCTCTCGATTACGTCTGGAAACTTTCCAAAGTAAGCATTTTAAAGGTACTGCATATTTTACATATACTCGTCTTATGTTACAATGACATCTCAGGGAAGTTGTGACGAAAGAGGAGCCGTAAGGCTCTTACTTTAAATGTAAGTTAAAAATAATTAAACTCAGTGGGCAGAGTATGTCGATGGCTGAGACAGCACTGAGATATATATGATAATTGTACTTATGTGTACCTGTACCTAAATATACTTACACACTGTGCTGGCTTGTGGCTACATTAAAATCACTATCTGAAGATGCAATAATAATAATAATAATAATAATAATAATAATAATAATAATAATAATAATAATAATAATAATCACGGGTGCTTTAAATGTCATTTATTACATTATTATACAGTCATATAGACATTTTCATTAATCCATCTATGACATTTTTTCAAAATTATATAAGAAACGTGCTACATATCATATAGACATAATATAAACAACCATACTAGAACAAATTAACGTAACTCTGAGGTGTGGTAGCAAGATGATGATCTCTCTCTTAGTACAACACCACCAGAGAAAATGTATAAAGTACACTGGGGATAACTGCAGAAAAACATTCCTTTTGCATGCTTTAACTCATAAATAGAGTCACTCCCTCTCAAAAAGCTGTGTTGCATGAGAATGGGAGTGTTGCTGTTGTATGTATTCTACTGCACCAACGTGAAGACAACTTGTACACAATGTACGGTGTTTGTATTGTGGGGAAAATACTTCACAATCGCATGCATAATGCCAGATGAACACGTATCAACCGACAGTGAACACGTATCAAATAGCACGTATAAATCTGGCCGCCCACCCAAAATACTAACACCACATACATGATATTTTATAATAGTAATAATAATCTTTAATTCTACAAGTGAAAAGTGAATCTGGGTGTGTTGCCATGAGCTCTGCATCTCTCAGTTCCATCTGCGAACTTTCCAAAGTTTTAAGTGTTTTAAAGTTACTACGTATATTATACATACTATTTTTGTGTTACAATAACATCTAAGGAGAAAATGTTGTAGGAAATTTAAGAGTGCTACACCAGTGAACACTAAAGTTACAAGAAAATATGATAACCTTATTGCTGACGTGGAAAACTTTTACTGGTGTGGACCGAAGATCAAACATATAGCCAAGAAAGTCTAGAAAACAGCAGGTAATCTTTCCAAGATACAGTACTGTGTACCCTTAATGGCACTCCTTGCACTATATCACACTATAATCTAACCTTACCTCACCTATGGTATTTGTATCTGGGGATCTACTACAACCAATATATATATATAGAATATTAAACTCCAATATAAACCTTCCTCTCAAACTTCTCCTTGATAGTTACAACAGAACAAGCAGGCACAACACGAGGCATAAAATTCTCTTCGGCATCCCTTGTGTCCGTCTCACTCTATGCAAAAATACAATGCATATAAAGGGCCCCAAGATCTGGAATTCATTGCTTGAACCAGCAAAAGGTACCCTGTCATCCAATCAAATTGGAGCTATAAATGAAAATCATCTTATCTCCCAAACTTAACAATACCAACACGGTTCAATGTTTGAAATCAATTAACCAGTCTGGAACTACAAGAAATCCCACTTAACTTATGGCCACTAAATCGGTCTACAATATTAATAGACACTTAAAATTGCTCTGTTGTAATATTGTAAATTACAGTGGTACCTTGAATTTCAAACATCTCCCAACTTGAACAATTATACAGTGGACCCCCGCATAACGATTACCTCCGAATGTGACCAATTATGTAAGTGTATTTATGTAAGTGCGTTTGTACGTGTATGTTTGGGGGTCTGAAATGGACTAATCTACTTCACAATATTCCTTATGGGAACAAATTCGGTCAGTACTGGCACCTGAACATACTTCTGGAGTGAAAAAATATCGTTAACCAGGGGTCCACTGTATAAGTGTATTTTTATAAGTGTTATCGTAAGTGTATTTTTGTAAGTGTATTTTTGGGGGTCTGAAATGGACTAATCTAATTTACATTATTCCTTATGGGAACAAATTCGTTCAGTAACAGCATTTGAACAGCCTTCTGGAACAAATTTTGGCTGAAATTCGAGGTACCACCGTATACCAATTGTAATATTTTTTCTCTCTATTATAAATCGTATTAACCTTTTGCTACCTCTCTTTTATAATTATTAAAAAATGTATAATTACAATTTACCACTCCTTGATCTATGTCTAGTTTTAACACCTAAACTGTCCAAATGTAGATCTACGTTTGCTCGCGTAGTGCTCCAAACGTAGATCTACGTTTGCTCGCGTAGTGCTCCAAGCGTAGATCTACGTTTGCTCGCGTAGTGCTCCAAACGTAGATCTACGTTTGCTCACGTAGCGCTCCGAACGTAGATCTACGTTTGCTCGCATAGCGCTCCGAACGTAGATCTACATTTGCTCGCATAGCTCTCCAAACGTAGATCTACGTTTGCTTGTGTAGCGCTCCAAATGTACATCTACGTTTTTTTACATGCTTTCAAATGGGGAAAAATCAAGGTTGGAGCACTACGCGCGTAAACATAGATCTATGTTTGGACAGTTTAAGGGTTAAGTAGTGTGTAAACATTAGTATTAGTCTGAGGGAAATACTCGGGCAAGTTAGTGCCTGTCTTTGTACTTAACAATATCTTATAAAATGTAAATCTCATATTGTTTATTATGCAAAGGAATAAATATAGCCTGTCCTCACTTAACGATGGAGTTGCGGTCCTAAGACCACTTCAGAAAATGAATCTGTCACTAAGTGAGGAGCATACTATAATGGTAGTGGGTTTGTGTCAACCATCTTTGATATTGTTTTAATGTCACTTTTGGACCATTTATAACATTTCTGGTATATTTTTAAATGTTTATACAGTAGTGTACTGTATATTGTAATAAACAGAATAGAGGAAATCAGCTCTAATATACATTATTTAGGTATACATACTGGTCAGAGAGCCCATTGTAAGTCCGAGCCGTCGGTAAACGAGTACGTCACTAAGTGAGGAGAGGTTGTAGCAGTGTTGTTCAATTATCAAAAGTAATACGTAATTCTAACAACAAGGAATATAAAAGTGAGGATGACTTCTATGCTTTTGAATATTTAGTGACAAAGTGACACTCAGGAAATATTGATGGAAACCCTGATGACCCTTGACCTGATGACCCTTGACCTGATGACCCTTGACCATCTACTTCTCGGGTTGGTCTGTCCAGCTTTACAACGCCATGCATAAATAAGTGTGTAGGTTTATTTAGGCACAGGTACACAAAAATACAATTATTATACATAGTGTAAACTACCCCACCAGGATAATCCAAAATAAGTCACTTTGACTTATTTAGGTTATCTTGGTGGGTAAGTTACACTCTGTATGATAATTGTACCTTTGTGTACCTGTGCCTATGTAAACTTGGAAATAAATGGTATAAAATACCGACACAATGGAAATATAAACACATATGCAGTTTAATGTGATCCTTTATTGACAATGTTTCACCCACACAGTGGGCTTTTTCAAGTCACAAACAGATCTACCTGGGGTGGAAGGTACGGGAGTATTTATAGTCAGGTTCAGAATGTTGAGGTCAGGTGGAGAATGCTGCATCTGATGATCTGCATTCTCCACCTGACCTCAACATTCTGAACCTGACTATAAATACTCCCGTACCTTCCACCCCAGGTAGATCTGTTTGTGACTTGAAAAAGCCCACTGTGTGGGCGAAACGTTGTCAATAAAGGATTACATTAAACCGCATATGTGTTTATATTGCCTATATAAACTTACTGACTTACAGTATTGTATTATTATTATAAAGGGGGAAGCACTAAACCTGTAGGATTAAACAGCGCCTGTGGGGTTATGTGGAAGATATTCAGGCATAATTCAGGGAACTGAAGCACAGATCCAATTCCCTAGATCGAGAGCTCCTCACCAGCGTCAATGAACCTTCCTTGAGGGGTTACAGCATTGTAAAGCTAAACATGTTCCAGACGGACCGTTCGAGAAATGGATGGTTGAGGCTCATCAGATTTTACATCAATATTTCCAATATCCTTAGCATTACTTTCAGTCCTTAAATGTTCAAAACCAGAGAACTGATCATCATTTCCATATTCCTTGTTGTTAGAACTATCACTTGGGAAGAGATGATTCCCAATTCGCCTGCGAGTGAGATTTTGCCAACCATGAGGCATGGTAAATAGAGGGTACAATAAAAATACCCAGATGTTGCACGTGTGTCGAATTCTTTATCTTGTGGTACTGTATACCATACATGAACAACTTGTCAGACACAGCAACATCATGGAATCTTGGTTCAGAGGACATCTCCACATCCTACTTAGCTACTACTGACCCGTCCCTCGGGTATGACCTACTTCCACTGGGGTATCCCACCTACCTGTGGCAGTGTCTTCGTCTGCTACAACTCCTTCACCTGACGCCAGTATATAAGCACCAATCTTCATGCCTGTGCTTCAGATTCTTCACGGCTACGGTACTCTTCACCGACTCCAAGGCTGAGGGACTGAGTACCTCATCTTTTGCATATAGTTCTACTGTCTTGTATTGATAAGACCACTGGATGGCGAAACGCCTACAATAAAGAAACCCAGATGTTG